CCATGGTGGTGGCTGATAGAGGAAGAGAATGGTTGTGTGTCCCTTCATAGGTTGTGATTAGTATGGACATGTCGTCTGCACATCTTTGGACCTAAAAACATTCATAATTTAGGACAAATAATTAGACTATATATGTATTTATGTTTCTATATAGATAAAGTAAGATCGTTCCACTTGGATATAATAAGCCAACAAACATCAATTGAACCCACAAAACAAACTAAAACCAAATCCAATGCAAACAAGTAAGAAAGAATCCAAACCGAAAGTTAAATACTTAATCATTAAAATATTTTCAAACTAAAAACATTTTAATATAGTATATGAACCAAAAGTGAAACCGTACCAAATCAATTTATTATTGAGTTGATTTCAATTTTGTGATCGATTCATATTGAATATGCAAATATATTATATTTGGTAGATATGTACCTGTTTTCTAACGGGACATCCAGGTGCAACCGTGCAGCGATAATATGCTCGTGGACATGGATTTCCTTTTGCAATCTTTTGTCCATATTTTCTCCATTGACAACCATCATTCATCTATACAAACATAGATTATAAATAAATCATTTTTTATATATAATATAATTAATCATAGATTAACATTAAATGTATAGTACGTACCGTTGGTGTGTCACATCTTGCTCTAACACAAACTCTAGCTCTCTTGACATGATTTTGTTGGCCAGCCTCACCATCAACATCGCCACCGGAGGCAGGTGCCGGAGAGCTTCTCTTCCCGGTAACCTTACTTGGCGACCAAGTTTCACCCGGAACTTCTTCCGAGTTATTTTCCAAGCTAGAATTGGCCGGATTCTCCGTAGACAAACTCTTTTTCGGTTCACCGTCGTTGCCATTATTGAACCCTAGGGTCAAGCCGGCTTTGGTCAACTCGTTGACTTCTGCGTTGATCGCTTCCGTTTTCTCTTCCTTTTTGGGGATGTTATCACTACTCGGGGAAGAACTTCTTCTCCCGAGTGAAAGCGACACAAGCTCGCGTTCTTGATACAAAGAACTCAAATCCGTCGTTGATTTGGGATTATCAACCATGTTTTGACTTTGAGTTGGGTTGTTTGAAGGTTCTTGTTGAATTATGTCAAAGAATCTGAGTTTGAGAGATTTGTAATCACTTTCGATTCGTTCGAGCATCCCTTTAAGCTTCTCGTTCTCTTCCTTCACCTCGCTCATCTCGGCCTTGGCAGATTCAAGTTCTTGATGATCACCATCACTCTAAGATTATTGAATAATTAAAAAAATGATTAATTTCTCAACTAAATCTAAAAGTTGTTCTAATATAAGAAATTTATTTTTTCGTTCTAACAAATCACAGTGATCCTAACTAATTATTCAATCCTATATCGAATTTTTTTTCTAGTTGACTACCATATAATCTTCTTGTTTCCATAAAAAAATGAACGGTAAAAAAATTGAGTTATTATTTCTGTAAATTACGGTAAGAAAAGCAATTATAAAGTACTCATCCATATCATATTCCCAGGATACAATAATTCCAAAGAAGCATACGATACAACAATTCCATAGAGAATAAGAGCTGTAACATATATGAGTTAAGTTTC